GTTCTGGAAAAAGACGTATTATTTGAGAATACGCAACTATCCAATCCCATCCAACTCCAAACCCATGACCCAAAGCTTCGTTCAACAAAACCAATCTGCTCTTGGCTTCACGGATAGGGTTAAAAGGCGCATTGAACATTACGTGATTGGTTGGTTGGTTTGTTGCATTCGCAATATTCCAGCTATATGGCGGTGGTCTGTAAATAATCCAGTCTGGACCAGACAATCCAGTGATCAACAACATGAGCATCTATCTACGCAACTGGGATACGGTGACATGTGTCAACTAAGTCAGCGAGCCTGACCACCCGATCCCGTTAGTCGCCTCTTACGACAACATGGGTTACTGAAGACCAATTCTAACCCGGATCTTCACAGGCCAAACATTACTTGAAACAGCCATAGCTATTGGAAATACCCACAGGACGGAGTCTGGTTTTGTAGTGGCAAAACCTGACATACCAAAAATTACAACTGGGATGAATTCAGGATCCAATCCAAGAATCAGCTGATCCTGGCTCGACAAAGAAACATAACCCTGGTATTCAAGAACACCGAAAACACGGCTCGTGATTTCCTGAGCTTTAGCACTGTAGTTAGTTTCCTTGGAATCTCATATTTTCCACAAAAACATAAGAACATGCATGGTTACTTTTATAACCAGCCGCCAGTTATCTTTCAGTGATGGCGTGAACATCCTGCTATCCCGACAGCTTAACTCCTAAATATATCAGTTTTCACTAAAAACACAAGGCGTCGTCGCGAATATCGGAAAACCTGCTAATTTAGAAATTGTGCGAATTGTTTGGCACTTATCAAAGAAATATTGGGGTATATTTCCAGTCATATTATCCGCCGGAATCTGGCAGAATTCCGATCATGTCGTACAGTGTTTCAGCGTCGGTGATAGAATCCAGAAATATTTTTTGATTAATCTTCTCTCCTCTCGACTGCCATTCTCATGCCATTATATCACAGAGCTTCTCTCACACAAACTAGATTACCGTTTAAGTTGAAAATGAACGTTCCCGGAAGTAGACACTTATGTGTAGCGACACCTTGCGGTAAATCACACAGGGAGATAACTCGGATTGGTTCCACATTCTTGTTAGCTTGTACTTGTGATCTTAATGAAGGCTCTTGAGAGTGTTCCTTAAGGAGCAGTACATTTACTGTTAGTGATAGCGGGATAAACTACAAGCGAAATAACTGAGTGAATGGGAGCTTAACGATGTGAATACACAATATTGCACTTTTGATTTGCGATTGTACGCTTATGATTTTGTTTATATGTGTTTTCATAACCAGCAATGTATATTATATGTCATGAATAAGTGATAATTGTGTTTTAATTATGTTTGATTTTTTGGTTGCATGTGACCTTTAAGTGCAAGATGTCATGGCTGTTAGTTAACAAGCCTTTAGAATTTAAGCTTCTATTAGGGCAAAGGTTGTCAGAATCGGTCTAGGATCCGCCTTCGTTACGTTGGCAATTTCCAGTGCTGGTTCCGTCGGCATGTTGCGCTTCCTCCCAAACGCTGCATACCCAGGGAACTAGCAGCGATGTCCTCGGTTCAGGGGATTTGTAGAGTTGACAAGTTCTCTATAGAGCCTCGTGTTTTGGTTCGCTGATAAGTTGACGGCCTTATTTCTGCTTTACAGCGGACAACCTATATACATGCATGTTCTGAGTAGGAGAAGTGCTTTTAATTTATATCGCTTTTTTACTTTCATATTTTCTTTGGGTTTTTTAGTGTTAAGACACTATGTTTGAAAATCGTCATGATACGTTTTTGGCAGAGTTTTTGAGTTCCACTCGTGTCTTTTGATGAACTTTTCAAAATCCCATGTCCGTTTGGGGACAATACTAAACCTGGGTATGTCTTATCGTTGCGGGGGCGGTGGGGTAGCGTAGTGGTTAAAGCGTTCGTTCGTCACGCCGAAGACCCGGGTTCGATTCCCCACATGGGTACAATATGTGAAGCCCATTTCTAGTGTCCCCCGCCGTGATATAGCTGGAATATTGCTAAAAGCGGCGAAAAACTAAACTCACTCACTCACTTAATGTTGCGGGGCGAGTATATTATGTATCCAGACAATGGTTCTGGAAAAAGACGTATTATTTGATAATACGCAACTATCCAACCCCATCCAACTCCAAACCCATGACCCAAAGCTTCGTTCAACAAAGCCAATCTGCTCTTGGCTTCACGGATAGGGTTAAAAGGCGCATTGAACATTACGTGATTGGTTGGTTGCTGTTGCACTCAGCAATATTCCAGCTATATGGCGGTGGTCTGTAAATAATCCAGTCTGGACCAGGCAATCCAGTGATCAACAGCATAAACATCAATCTACGCAATTAGGATACGGTTACGTGTGTCAACTAAGTCAGCGAGCCTGACCACCCGATCCCGTTAGTCGCCTCTTACGAAAACATGGGTTACTGAAGACCAATTCTAACCCGGATCCTCACGGGCCGAACATTACTTGAAACAGCCATAGCTATTGGAAATACCCACAGGACGGAGTCTGTTTTTTATGGCAACACCTGACACACCAAAAATTACAATTGGGATGAATTCAGGATCTAATCCAAGAATCAGCTGATCCTGGCTCTACAAAGACGCATAATCCTGGTATTCAAGAACACCGAAAACACGGCTCAGCTTTAGCACTGTAGTTAGTTTCCTTGGAATCTCATATTTTCCACAAAAACATAAGAACATGCATGGTTACTTTTATAACCAGCCGCCAGTTATCTTTCAGTGATGGCGTGAACATCCTGCTATCCCGACAGCTTAACTCCTAAATATATCAGTTTTCACTAAAAACACAAGGCGTCGTCGCGAATATCGGAAAACCTGCTAATTTAGAAATTGTGCGAATTGTTTGGCACTTATCAAAGAAATATTGCGGTATATTTCCAGTCATATTATCCGCCGGAATCTGTAGAATTCCGATCATGTCGTACAGTGTTTCAGCGTCGGTGATAGAATCCAGAAATATTTTTTGATTAATCTTCTCTCCTCTCGACTGCCATTCTCATGCCATTATATCACAGAGCTTCTCTCACACAAACTAGATTACCGTTTAAGTTGAAAATGAACGTTCCCGGAAGTAGACACTTATGTGTAGCGACACCTTGCGGTAAATCACACAGGGAGATAACTCGGATTGGTTCCACATTCTTGTTAGCTTGTACTTGTGATCTTAATGAAGGCTCTTGAGAGTGTTCCTTAAGGAGCAGTACAATTACTGTTAGTGATAGCGGAATAAACTACAAGCGAAATAACTGAGTGAATGGGAGCTTAACGATGTGAATGTCATATTTGACTGCAGTAGCGAAGTTTGTCGAGGGGTTGAAAAAAACAACCAAAGACAAAATATGTTTTAGTCAGCGCCTCGAACTTTAAACTTAGTTTTAACCACACAATTTTTTTATTGTAAAACTTGAGGACAAACTGTTTTATTCCTTTGTTTTTATTTAAAATATAAATAGTCATAGTCCCAGTACTTGATTTGATAATAACTGATTTTTATTTACTCTGTATTTCGCTTTGTACAGATTTGAGACCGCCTCCGTGGTGTGCTGGTTAGAGCGTCAGCCCGGAGAGCGGAAGGTCGCGGTTCGATCCCCGACCGCGTCATACCAAAAGACGTTAAAATATGGTACTTGTTGGTCCCTGCCTGGCGCTGGACATTAATGGGTACAATAAGGACTGGTCAGGCTCGGAATCAGTATAATGTGTCTGAATGGGGTATTCATGCTTCACTGCGGCATGGTATCTCAGTGGGCTAGCACTATAAAACCAGCTTCAGTCTGGGCTAGTACAAGCAGCCGCACACACGCACATATTACACACGCATGCACGTCGTCATATGAGTGAAATATTCTCAAGTACGACGTTAAGTGAAAGTGAGTGAGATGAGTTTAGTTTTACGCCGCTTTTAGCAATATTCCAACAATGTAACGGCGGATATAGCAATATTCACACATAGTACCCATGTAGGAATCGAACCCGGGTCTTCGGCTAGATGGGCGAACGATTTAACCACTAGGCTACCACACCGGCCCCCTTGGCGAGAGAAGTGGTCTCATCCTAGAACCAAAACGCTCCCTTCAGGATATTGACACTCGCCCTTGCAGGATGGAAACCTTTCCTAGGAAAGGAACACTCCCCTTATACTCATTGCATTTTGTATAGTAATGAGTTATATTTTGGAAATATTCTCTTCTTTTAATTTTTCTTCATAAACACCCCAGCGTTATTTCCCGTTACAGGAAGTCAATTTTCCAAATTCACTCAAATTCAAAAGGGAACTACCTATTTTATATTGACTATTGTGTTATATGGTATGATTCCGTAGAGGGCTGTGGGGGCGCTTTTCGCCTTATTTAGACTTGGTGTTGAGCGTAATTTTGAGGTTCGTAGAACAGTATAGACTAAATAGGCATAATTCTGAATGTCATTACGTAATGGCAAGCATTCTGACAGGACGTTCTTTTCACTCTGGAATCTATTTGGTTGTTTGCTGTATAACGCCGCACTCCGCAATGTTCCAGGCGGTCTGGAAATGATCGAACCTGGACCAGACAATCCAGTGATTGAAATCATGAGCCACCAAGTCAGCGAGCCTGACGACCCGATCCCGTTAGTCGCCTCTCACGACCAGCATGGGTTGGTGAAGACCAATTCTAGCCTGGATCTTCACGGGTCTCCCCTAGATATCCAGCCTTGCACATTTTGCAAACTTAACTACTGTTGCTAGGTGAATATTGTTATCAATAGCTTTATTGCATTCAGGGCAGTGGTGTGTTTTTTGCCATATTTTGTCTTGGTATCGTGGAGGACACAATGATCCTCTGAATATCCGAACTGACAAAATGATTCTATACGAGAATTCCTCTTTTTTATTCCCTCGAAATCCGTGTGATATTGTCATCTACAGAATGTTGATATATCCAGACATAAACTATACATTTCACAAATGTTTAATCAGGAAACATAACAGCCTTCTCTAAGACCAGGTGATATTTGCGATGCTGTACTGTTGGAAGTATCCGGACGAGTCTGACAAGGAACCTCAAAGTCGCTCTCTGAGATCAGAGACGAAAACTGTAGCGTATCGGTGCTACTACTTTCCGACGGTGGATTATCTGTGATCGTATCTATGTGAGCGAAAGGATCTGGATTTGGAGGTTCATTGTCCAAGTTAATTACACTGATGTCCAGATCCGAATCCGTGTAACTCTTGTCCAGAAGGAAGTGTGCGTTTCCCCTAGCCCTGGAGCCTCCTGTGGTGGAAGAGGTAGTTGCAACGGAGACGCTGCTCGTGACTGCGGGGCCGTCTATGTTGGTGATGATAACAGGCTGTTGCTGCTGCTGGTGCTGCTGTTGCTGTTGTTGTCTGTAATTGTACCTCCCATCCATATCGCCAGTACTGGACACTCCATCATCCCCGTCGGTAGGAACGCTGTACTCAATATTGGTGTCAGATACAGCATCAATATCGGGATCAGCATCAACTGGACCAGCTTCAACCTCAGTATCACTGTCATCAGCACCGACGTCAGCAGCAAGACCAACGTCAACGTCGCCATCATCTTCGACGTCAGAGTGAGGATCAGGGTCAGCATCCAATTCGACGTGAAGAGCAACACAAACTTTAACTTCAGCGTCCGAATCAATGCTGTCATCGATATCAGCATCTACATCGACACGAACATTAGAGCCAACTCCTGCATCGACAGAATAAGCTACAGCATCGACACCGGAAACAGCATCAGCACTGACGCCAAACTTAACGTAAGCTTTGACGTTAGTGATAGCATCGGCATCAAAGTCAGCTTCAAAATTGACGTGAAAATCCACACCACCAGCAGCATCAACGGCATTATCAACGTTATCATAGTTGTCGACTTCAACATCATCACAAACATAAGCAGAATTAGCATCAGCATCAACCTCAGCAACACCTGATTCGAGGTCACAAGGATCCACATCTTCAGAAATAGAATTCCCTTTCCCGTTAACGTTATCCCATATAACAGCATTACCCCCAACACAGGCATTGTCGTCAGCGTCGACACTATTTTCTAAACCGTCACCAGCGTCGTAATGAACATCATCAGCTTCGACATCACCATCAGATTCATCATACTCGTCATCGTCTTCGTCATCGTACACGAAAGACACATCAGAAGCATACAATTCACTGGCATCCCCACTTGGTCTGCAGATCAAAGCCTCGGACGAAGATGAACTGGAATTACTCTCCTCTTCCAACCCCTGGTCCACGGGACAAGATGGTTCAGCGCCATCAGGGGGTGGTGCTCTGTACCGGCTTGTCACCAGGACGCAGGGTGAGGAGTATGAGAGCCGGAGGATGCCATCAGAAGCTTCTAGCGGACTGGGAGATTGTTGAGGGCAAGACACTACATCGTCACCGCTGTAGTATTTGTCAGAGACGGATAGCGTGGCTTCTGGCCATTCTGAGTCTCTCTCAGATTCATACGAATCTTCCTGGCTGATTGAACCAGCAGGGTCGACATCTCTCCCGAACATAACAGCGACAGTTCCACTGTCGGTTGAGGACGTCTTTGGGGAAATGTTATACACGTTGCAGCAGCTGCTCGACTTCTACTTTCCAGTTCGTGCATAACTGTCTCAATTGAAACAACGTGATCTGAGTGTTGGTAACCGTGGTGACCTTCCCTCGATAATTCATCTGAAAACTCAACTGGAGAATTTGTGTGAGGTTGAGAATTATCAGACACAACTCTGGGTCTGTCGCCGTCATGGTCGTCAATTACAGCGTCCAGAGCTTCAATGCATTCAAGATATAATACTGGTGGATTAGCCTGGTCGAATTGTGTTATATCGTCAACTAGCGCGACAGTCATTTTGTGAGGGGGCTGACTTTCAACTTCAGAGAAGACTTCAGCTACGGAGATCGGCTTCATGTCTGAGGGCCCACCTTCAGCTAAAGAAATAGCTTTGTCGGATGCCTCGCCCTCTGTCGTAGTTATAAACGTTGTGTAAGAGGGTTCACTTTCACCCGTAGAATCAGGAATTGTGTAAGAAGATGATTCACGTTCAAATATTGAGAGAGGCACTGTGTCAGATTCCCTTTTAGCTGTACCTTCAGAAACTGTGTCAGATAATTCACTTTCATCTGTAGCGACAGACTCTCGGGATTCAGTTTCACCACTAGATACTGCAATAGAGTCAGAAGATTCACTTTCAGTTGAAGATTCAAACACTGCATAAGATAATTCACCTTCAGGTGTAGCTGTATAGGCAGGCATTGACGATTCTCTTTCAGCTGTAGAGCCGGGTGGTATGGTGTCAGAGGATTCACCTTCTGCTGCAGAGTCAGACACTGTGTAAGATAATTCAGCTTCCGCTGTGGATTCAGACACCGTGTAAGATAATTCACTATCAGCTGCAGTGCCAAGTATTGACGATTCCATTTCAGCTGTAGAGTCGGGCATTGTGTCAGAAACGGCAGTACCAACTACTGATGAAATCAATGTCACTATGTCAGAGGCCTCACAGTCAGCTGTAGAGACACACTTCGACGGTACACTTTCAGCTGTAGATTCGGGTGGTAATGTGTCCGGGAATTCGCTTTCAGCTACAGATTCGGGTGGTATTGTGTTCGGGAATTCACTTTCAGCTGTAGATTCGGGTGGTATTGTGTCTGGGAATTCACATTCAGCTGCAGATTCTGGTGGTATTGTGTCCGAGAATTCACTTTCAGCTGTAGATTCGGGTGGTATTGTGTCCTGGAATTCACTTTCAGCTGTAGATTCGGGTGGTGTTGTGTCGGGGTATTCACTTTCAGCTGTTGATTCGGGTGGAATTGTGACCGAGAATTCGTTATCAGCTGTAGATTCAGGCATTGTGTCAGAAGAGGCACTACCAGCTATTGATGAAGACGATGTAATGGCGTCAGAGCCCTCTCGTTCATTTTCGCTCATGTTGTCTGTGGGCATAGTTTTATCTGCCAAAGAACCAAGACCTTCTGTCGCATCTTTACCAACCTGCTGCTCCGTGACGACTTCTGCGTCACACACATTGCGGAGTAGAGACATCGCCACATCATTCACCGCATCACCTTTGTAAACATCACCACCATCGGTCCTTGTGTCGCCAGCTCCGATATGTGTCGAGGGCTGCAGCATCGTGCTCTCTGGGATAGGAAATCCTGGATACAATTCTGATAGATTAACAATCCTAGTTTTGCCACGCAATGAACGACGGCGCGAAGCAGAACCACCAGCAGAAGATGGCCCTGTAATATACTGAGTCAAAAGAAACTTCACATTCTTTCTTCCCGGCACTATAAAGAACAAAGAGATGGTAAGATGGTTAAATTGTTATTATTTCATTGCTGAGATCTGTGTGATGTACTCGATACACTGACAGTGCCATAATCAGTTCCATTAGGCTACACCGCCGTTCCAAAACATGGGTATACAGAATGTCAAGTCACAAGAATAAAAATGCGAAATTTCTCAGTTCAATATCGTGTATGGCCGCCCCGCTCATTCACCACTGCCAAACACCGTCTCCTCATCGACTGCCTGATGCTTGTGAACACGTGGTTGGGGATTCTGCGCCATTGCTCTTGCAAGGCAGCGCCAAGTTCCTGCAAATTCTGAGGTTGGTTCCTAAGACCACGAAGCCTTCTCCCAAGTGCATCCCAAACGTGCTCTATTGGATTAAGGTCAGGGGACCTCGATGGCCAGTCCATGACGTTGATTCCAGCGTTTTGAAGGAAATTTCGTGTCAACATCGCGGTATGCGGCCGAGCATTATCATGCTGGAACTGTAGACCTGGGCCATGAGCCGCCATGAAAGGAACGAGTTCAGGGGTGAGCACCTGGTCGCGGTAAGCAGCAGCTGTGAGGTTTCCACGGATGACCAGAAGTCGGGAACGGTTGTTCCCACAGAAAGCACCCACACCATGCAACTTCCGCCCCCGAATCTGTCGACTTCCTGTACACAACATTGGGCATACCGTTCACGACGTCGTCTCCAGACTCTATGCCTGCCGTCCGCGAATCTGAGGGTAAACCTGGATTCATCGCTAAAGACGACTCGATTCCAGTCTCTCTGGGTCCATCGGAGGTGACGTTGGGCCCACAGCAGACGTTGACGTTGATGAAACGGCGTCAATATTGGCCCACGATATGGACGTCGAGAATGGAGATTGGCAGCCCGCAACCGATTTCGAATGGTCTGTAGGGACAGTCGACCTCTAAACATCTCAGCCCTGGTTCATGTAGCCGGCAGAAATCTGTCACGTAGGTGACGTAGGACGATTGACGGTCTTCTGCTCGTGACGTCACACGTGGACGACCCGACCTTGGGCGATCAGAAGTGGTGCCAGTTTGTTGTAGACGACCTCGCAAGTCATACACAGTACGACGGCTGCATCCCATTGCTCTTGCGACGTCAATAACTGATCTTCCCGCTTGCAACATGCCAACGGCACGTTCACGTTGCACATTTGACAATCGTGGCATTTCAAGTACCGTTAGAACTGTGGTTTAAAAGTGTTTTTCAATTCTTGAGGCCAATGCAAACACGTGCATATGAAGAAAACTTCGATGCGAAGATCACGTGATCGACTGCACGTGCAAAACCTGATTTGGCACTAACGTCATTTGCACGACGAATGGATGGGTTTGAGTGGGTTTTGCTAACGTTTTTCTAGAGTCGAAAGATAGGGATCCCATTTCGGATACATAGATGTATCATCAGAGAAAAATTATTCATTATTTTTCAAATTACATTTTGTGAAGTTTCTTTTTTGACTCAGTATATTCTCTATGCTATGACAGATTGATTGTTTGACACGTGTCATCGGTTCCCAATTGCGTAGATCGATGCTCATGCTGTTTATCACTGGATTGTCTGGTCCAGACTCGATTATTTACAGACCGCCGCCATATAGCTGGAATATTGCTGAGTGCGGCGTAAAACTAAAACTCACTCACTCACAGATTGATTAATATGAAAGAATAGGGATTTCTTTAACTTCTTTTGAGAAGTATACATTTCATAATTTTATTAAACCAAGATCAAGTTTATCTACAGATGTATTTTAAAAAATAATATTTTGTCTGAGTATCGCACATATTTGTAACCGATACTCATCAGCTTGCACGACATTCTTCCTCCCGCGTTTAATTGACAGACCGGTGTATATAACCAATTCTACAGCTTTAACGAGAGTAATTTATGACGTTCCGTGGGGCGCGAAACCCTAAACTGGTGCTGGCAATGTCAACTAATGTCAACCGATTGTCAAGGAGCCGTTAACGACCCTGAACCTACACAGACAGCGGAACAGACCTGACGATAACCGCATCTCACTACAGTAAAAGGGGATTTCAAGACGGTTTCAACGAGCTAAAAGCCTACTTGTAAAACATGACCCTGTAACGCGCACCGACAACCGCGTGCTTGGAACTGGCAATGTTTGTGGAATTGTTGGGAAATTCGGTCGTAGACACGTGGAAATTATAAACACTGGATATATGTGGTTTTAAACCTGTTCTTTTAAAATTTCCAGATGTGAAAGAAATATTTCCTGGGTAGTTTTCCACGAGAGTAAGTTTTTACCAACCGCAGCAAGCTCGCAGAGCCAAGCACTTGTGAAAATGCTTGTGTATAACCGTTACCGTTCTTCTTAGAGACGGTGGAATCGCTGAGAACATAGAATTAGGCTAACGCTTAGTCCCTCAATATATAGAATTTTGACAGTAACAAATGCACCCATTTAAATTGAAAAGGAGCCCCAGTGAGTTAGGAGTTTGAGGGAAATCTAGACTTGCTTCATTTACAGCTATATCATTGCAGAGAGGGCTAGGCAGTAGAGAAAATACTGTGGTTCAGGGACTGTGATGCATACTATCGTAAAATATTCTGATATCGTTCGATAATTCCAAATTATTTATTTTACATGTAATTGCAACGGAGATTGTTTTGGACAAACTCTGAGAATTGCTCATGACCCGGTAATATTAACTGTACACGGTTACCTCCCTTAGTCGACCAGGATCTGCTGTAGTTGTTCATATTCCAAATTGGGTCTGATTATGAACCCTGATCTGCTGCACCATGTTACCGCAGTCTGTTGTCTTTCCTTTTGGCAAGCATTAAACAAAACATGAGAAAAAATACCAGTTATGCCATAAGAATTTGGTTGTATATTCGATGCCGATTTTATCATGATTGATTTTCAATTTTAAAAAATCTTACGTCAGCGAAAGTATTTTTCTTTAAAATGGACTGTATTTGGGCTAAGTCAGCGGTGTCAAAACCTACTTCAACATGACTTTATTTTCTAAAACATAATTCAATCTAAAACTTTTTAAAATATAGAAGTCGCATATTAACTGCTAATAGAATATTTTCTTTGAAAACCAATAAATAGATCCAAATGTGCAAAAGGTGAGGAAGTGAGTCACGTCAGAATGTGACCTAATGAGAGGTCATCGAGTTATTCAATCAAATCGTTATAATCTCAGGTCAAGTCGTTACGACACAGGTCAACGCGATACGACACTCGTGTGACGTACGAGATTAGTATGCAACTACCCATACGTTGACCACGTGGGAAATAAAACCTGAGATTCTAACGATTTGATTGGATAACCGATGACCTCTCAATTAGGTCACATTCTGACGTAACCATTTTTCATTCATAACAAACACGTGAATTCATTCATTCTACAACTTAAATGCATTGTGGGAATGTAAACATTGCGAACGTTGCCGTGTCGCTGTGTAATTGTGAGTCGAACTGAGACATTATATCCGTCGAAAAACATAAACGCAATGTTTCCACCAGTGATGTTAGCCGAATGAAGCAACTGCAAACCAAGAAACGGGGTGCTACGGAGTAGTTTACTGTAGGAGGCTGTACGAGGCGATGACAACTGACATGCATCGTGACGTCGGTTACCAAGGCAGTGACGTCATTAGAGTGACGTCATACAAATATTGTACTACAGTGCAAAACTCTTCAGCAACCTCTTTATGAAACCGGTTTCGGTTTGAAAACCAAAATATTAACAAAAAATACGCTATTTTGTCAATTTAATGCATGTAAGACGTGGGTAATAAATAAAATACCACCCCATTCGGTCTCAGTTACATACGAATTATATCGAAACTCGTGATCTTCCTATGATATCTGATCTCGCTTTCGCCTCGGTCAGATACCATAGGAAGGACACCTGTTCTGTATAATTCCGTATGTAATGAGACCTCGTGTAGTATTCTCTATATACGTTCTCAACTAATAAAACGTTGATTCGTGTCAGCGGTCGTGGGAGCGTGTTCGGCAGGGGTCTGTGTAGACTGTGTCGTCCCTGAATATATATGATTTTGATAGTAAAAAATAACCTCATTTAAACTGAGAAGGAGACAGAGTGAGATGGGAAATTCAGAACGTGAGGGAATCTGGACTTGTTTCATTTAGGACCTTAGCATTGCAGACAGGGTTGTGTGGGAGGGACAATTAATAATGCGGTTCGGTGGCTTTCAGACAGACTAGCAGAGGTATTATGCTGGTTGCATGGAACTCTTGGCAGGGCTAGACAGTAGGTAAAAAATAATGTGGTTCGGGGACTGTGAGACACACTAGGTTCTGTGAAACAAGCAGTTTCCGACACTTGAGATGCAAGGGTAGAGACGGCTACCATCACTAAAAGTCTCTTTGCCTTCATATTTACAGAGAAATAGCTGGTTTGCTCATAAATCCTAATCTGAGAACGTTCGTGGAAGTTATTCTTTATCAGCATAAGGTTCAAGGACTGAGAATTTCATATATTCTCCGCCGTATTTGAAAATTTGGGAACTCATGCTTTGATTCTTGGTTTAGCAGAAAAGCATATGTCAAATATTTACAGATTACAAATTTAAAGCAGATTTTCTATGAATAAATGCAAAATAGACATACATTGACAGGTTCTGTAATTCAATAGTATGTTCATTTGTTAATTTGTTTCATTTGTTAAATATTTCTTTCTAAGGTTTTCATAGGCGGGGCAGATAAAAAGAAAATGGTATTCGTCTTCTACAGCATTAACGTTCGGTTTGTATTACAAGGGGGTAAGCGCAGTAGTTGGAACAGGGAAACACATGCACGTGCGGTACGTGATGAGCG